GTACATATACTGAGTATGTATTTCATGCCATTATGCCCAAGTCATAACACATTTTTTATTGTAAGAAGGTAATTGCAATTACATGTATATAGATTTTTTTAAAATAGCCATTAACCTTGAAACAATTGCAACAGTACTTATGTGTATCACATGTACTTAAAGTATCGATCTAGCTTAAAACAGTCGTTTTTCAGTAATCCCGACAACTCTGTCAACGATAAAATTGTCATGATAAATAAATTGTCTGCAAAAGTGAATCCTTTCTCATAGAACATTTGGAAACATGGACACCTGAATATGTAGTAGTATATAAAGTGAAGAAAATAAGCAAATAACTATACTTTTTTATTTAGATTGATTTTTATTTTCAGTGTTTGATAAGAGGAATTAATGAAAAAAGATTTTAAATGTACTCATTTTAGAGTAAGCAATGTTCTACATCCTTTCTGTGCGAAAGGAAGACTTTTTTCTCAAAAATTTCTACCTTTACTAAACAAGAAGAATCAATACCCCATACAGACACTTTGGGAAAGGCATTTGTCAATCAATAAATATAAAACAAATGTGATAGAAATTTATGACAGAATTGCCTTTACACGAATGAAACATATTAAATTAGAAAATTAATATATACAAATGCAACTAAATGATATTTTTTTAAACCTTCTTTTAAAAAAATACGCATCGTACGTAAAGACAAAAAATCACAATGCTTCTATTCTCAACAAGCTAATTCAGAGAGTTTGTGTCCCCCGCTTAGGGAAAAAGTAAACCATGCGCAGTTCGTGGAGGGGGGGGGGTGTCGGATCCCCCTGACTTAATTTGTAAATAATTAAATTTGTAGAATTATTAAACGTATACATGTATACTGAAGCATATAAAATACATTTATGTCAATATGCATATAAAGATTTGATTGCTTATTCTTTATTATGTGTATAGAAGATTCTTTTTATATGGAATATTTATCACACTGTAATAATGATTTTATAACCTCATAAATTTTTCATTTCACATGCTGAATACTATCATTGAGTAAAAAAAAAAAGTATTTAAAAAAAAAAGAAGAAAGGATCGACCGAGATTCGATCCTGGGACCTCTCACATTTGAAGCGAGTGACATGACCACTTGACCACAGAATCACTTTACCTGACATGAAGTATATGCAGAACTGAAGTCACATACATGTATATATTCATGTTTTCATGTTCGGTATTCTCAAAGTTTTACACAATCCATGGTGTTTGATTTATTTAGCCTTTATTAAACAGTTCTAATAGATGTAATAAGAACATAAAGTCCGCCGAGAACCTGTTTTATACGCAATAACTCTCCTCATGCCCCTGCGCTAAAAATAGCGACATGTAATACTATAAATACTAATAAAACAAACGGGGCGGGACACTTTGAGAGGGGCGAGAGACGTCCTAGGGAGTTTTGGTATAAAATTACATTGCATAAGCTCAAGATCTTCTTGAAATATCACCCGGAAATGATAGTATTACACAGACAGAATGTATAAATTTACGACCTTGAACTTTGACCTTTTGACCTCAAAATCAATAGGGGTCTTCATTAGGCCACAGGGAGTTGTTATATAAAATTTCATTGCAATAGCTCAAATGGTTCTAGAGATATCGTGTGGAAACGAAAGTGTTTTAACAGACAGACTTTTCTTATTTATGACCTTGACCTTTGACCTTTTGACCTCAAAATCAATAGGGGTCTTCTTCAGTCCATAGGGAGTTGCTATGCTAAATTTCATTGCAAAAGCTCAAAGGGTTCTCGAGATATCGTGTGGAAACGAAAGCGTTACAGACAGACAGAAAGACGGACGGACGGACGGACGGACAGACGGACGGACGGACGGACAAACCCAAATTAATATCCCCCACTTTTCAAGCGGGGGACAATTAGGGCTCATTAGAGGTTGATTGTAAATTTAACAATAATTTTCTTTCAATTTTTTAAAAATTTAAAATCAGACTCATTTTTTTCTCAAAGATCGTTATTCCTAAAGAGCTATGGATGTCTGAGAACACTGTGGACAACCCTCGTCTTTGATTATTGCAAGCTTAATTTCAGGTGAATGAAAACAAAATTAACAAGCAGAGTTCTATTATCGATAACGTACATTCGAAATATTCTTGATAATCATTAAAAATTCTCCACCCAATCGTTCAGGTATGTCACTCGTGAAATTTGTTAAATCAAGGATTTATTGAGAAGTATATTTTGGATAAGTACTCATATAGAGTGGCTCAAAATCGCACAGAAAATAGGTGGTCAGTGTTCATCTTACTAATCTACGGCACAATGAAATTGATCTTTTTGCACTTAAAATCTAACTCTTTGGTTAATTACTTAAACCTTAATTATATTTTATCAGATGTAATCATGGAAACAAGTATTATCTTATTTTACGTAAAATATTTTGAATAATATTTATCACTGAAAAAATCTTGCAAATTAATGCGCGTAAATTATTGTGTGACTTTTTTGCACTAACAAGTAACATATTTTGGGGTTTTAAGAAACTAAATAGGCATCAAAACATTTTCTTAAATCAAGCTTTTTACGACTTAAGTGCTGATCAGTCACAAGTATCGAATACTTTAAAATAATGAAAGAAAAAATTGGGGTCAGTGATGTTAATTTTGAAATATTGGTCAAAATATGTGATTTTCCGGCAAAAAATGGTGTAAATTTTATATTGACTTATTTGACATATCTTCATTTTTTGGCAAAGTTTGTTGAAGGAAGGTGTAAAACTTGATCTAAAAATATGAAGTAAGACCTATATTCAATATTCCTTGCAATATCATAATGGAAAATATTCTCCGAGTAAAAGTATGTGGGGCTAAAGTTCCAAAATATTAAATCTAATAAATGTGCAGATTGCAGAATTATCTGCAAAATATCCTTCCACCAAAAAAAGGGTCCCTTACAAATTTTGCTTCTTTGTAGCTTTTTGAGCAGTTTTTTCATTGAATGTTAAATTATTAACATTGTTGAAATTAAATATCTAATAAAAATTGAATTTTGAGAAATAGTTTTGAAGTAAGAGGATCTGCGTGAACTTTTCTAAAAAGCTGACGAGTGACCTACCTTAAGGTAGATCGCGGGTTTACTGTCTGCCTGAAAACATAGGCTACAAATTTGTCAGCTAACTCCTCTCGTTTTAAATTTTACTTTCTGAAATTTTGTTGCGATTCGTCTGCGTGGTTAGATTGTAATCGTAATCCAAATGCGCTAATGTTGATGAGAACTGGTGACGCTTTTTCAATGAAATATATAGTAAAATGTCCCTTTTCTGCCGGTATATGCATTTCAAAACCATAATCATAACATTAAAACGAAGCAGACGAATTTTATATTACTCTGTACAATGAATGTGAAGTAAATTTAGAATCGATTTATTAAAAAAAAATTAATATGTGTTCTCGTTCAATTTCTTGCAAAAAAACTTTAAAGTTTTACAATTTTTCACCAGAAGTATTATATTTTCATCACGACGTTATATTACGTTGGTGCGACTTCATTATTTTCGTGTGCCTGCATGACTCGAAAAAAATTAAATTAATCAACAATTCACGCAAAATAAAGCATGCAATCCGTGAATTCAATTTCCCGATATAATCATTACCATATTTTACCAACATCGTGGCACTATTTCAATGTGTGCTTTCTTTTTCTCGCAATAAAGTACAGAAAAATTATAACAAATGTACATGGATGTAAGAAAAAATACATCTTACCGGATTTGAGAACATTTTTCAAACATATATATTTTTTGCATCATTTTTATCTATTAATAAAACGTACCCGATTCTAAATCGGAAATACTGCAGATGAATTAATTTTGATTCAATTTTCCTTTGAAAATGTCGTAAAGGCAATTTCTTTTCATTACTTTGCCGATATATAGAATACTAAAGAAAGCATATACAGTATACTATATAGAAAACAGGTATTAATACCAAAGAAAACATTACTAGTATTTACTACTACAGTGTATTTGCTCGTGTCCCCTCAATAACAACGCCTGATACTCCCTCCTTTTTTATGCTTGTCAAGGAATTTTTGGTTGTTGATAGTAGCCCCAACTGAAAATATAAACGAGTAGCTGTGCCCCTGACTGAAATTGCTTCCTACGGGCCTGCAACTCATGCCTTGACCCCCCCCCCCTCCGCACTCCAACACAAAACACCAATTGCAGCTGTAAGCCGAATCGCTATTGATTGCCAATAATGAAAGGGTCTGAGTTATAGATGACAATATATAAGACGTATATATTTCATTTGGTAATGTTACCTAAATCATTAACGTCTCTCCTGTTGAAAATTATCTACCCCCCCCCCCCTTGCCCCAAAAGAAAAAAAATCATCAGTAAGAGAAACAGTTCATTAAGCATATTGACGTACCTTATACTGTCCATTACTTTCTCGTTTTAAAAATCTTATACCTGCACTTGGTTCAGACAATATTGTTGCGCATAAAAATATTACCAATCTAGACGTACATCATCATGAAGAAAATGGATACCTTGTATAATGAGATAATTGTAAAACAAATAAAAATAAAGTAAATTAGTATGTAAATTAAACAAACAAAAAAATCATAAAAGTGAACAAAAAATTAAACTGCAGGGCAGGCGCCAGACACACCGGTTGTGGATCTGTTTTTGTATTGAATCAACAATTAGGCAATAGTATTTTGATTTTAGAAAGGCACGTACACACAGTAGATATCAGCGTTAAAAACTACTTATAATGTAAAAGATAACCTTGATCAAAACATCATTTATTCTCAATTACATCCAAAAAATATTTCAATACACCAAACAACCTTTAATATACATGTATATATTTCTTTTTACTGCATATAGTATTTTTTCCTTGCTAATATGAACGCGGCAAGCTTTTTACGTCAAATCCCATTGTGACGTCAGCAAACCCGCGATCTACCTTAAAGTATGACAAAAATTAAATGTAAATTTAAATTAGTCATGGTCAAATGTAAATTTAGTACCACTGGCAATATCACTGGAATCCCTCTTAATTCAAGTACTAGTCAATTTTGCTCCACCCATCATCTGTCGTGAAATGTAATCGTCAAATTTTCTTTGGTATTCACGTCCTTTTTTATCATTTCGAGTCCAACAAAACATACTTGCAACTACCTCAAAATGTTCCGGAAATTCGTCTGAAATTTCTTCGATTGCGGTCATATAGATGGCTATTGGATGTGTACACCCATCCAAGAGAGAAATTTTGTAAGCATGAATATAGTAATAAAATAATCTATTTTTGAGATTTCTTTTGAAATCTTTTTGCTCTATCATTATTTCTTTTTGCAGCTCTTTGTCTTCAACCTCTTCCGTATTAAACAATTCTTCTGAAATCGCGCGCTTAATACAAAGAATTGCTATATCTATTGCAACGGTTGATATATTGACATTTTCCATTTGATACTGAGAATAACTGAGATCGTAGAAAAATGACGCTAATAACGCAAAGTTGCGCGATTTTTCTGTTGGTATTCTCATCCAAGCTAATGTAAAGTCTACTTTCCAAGGAACAACATCTTGGACAATTTTAAAACTCTCATTTGAACAGCGTGTAAAAATGTCAGATTTATTGTTCTTATCAAACAGCTGACCCAAAATCCCTCGTGTTGTTTTTTGCTTAAATTCGCGTATTCCCTTGAGAAAGAAGTCAGAAAATGTTGGTCTTTTGAGGGTTTTTTCTTCATTTGGTAGATGTATTTCCAACATTTCCTCAAACATTTTTCGAATCAATTCAAATGCTGATTTGTAAAATCCTAGACGACAAAAGAATTTTGAAACTCGTAGTGTCATCGGGGCAAATTTTTTCCGGTACAATCCATTCAAATTTCTAGACTTTGAAAACCCTTTGCAGTCATTTAAAACACCTAAACGCAGATTTTCAGTGAACGTGTATCCGTGTCTTCTCGCAACTAAGCTTACAAACATCGCTGGAAATAGACGCATTGCCTCGACAAAGACACATATAGTGTCAATTTCATCCTCCGTAAAATCATCTATGATATTGTTCGATGATATGAAATAATGTGGAATATATCTCCTTTTCAGATAGATAATCATCAATGAAAGTGTTCGTAAAACACACCCAGTAAGATTTGTCTTCCATTTCTGTTGAGGTATTTCCTCGCACGCATACAGAAAAACTGAGAGAATATGCTTTCTTTTGAGTCCTTTGGTTAATATTCTAGTCGCCTCTTCGACCATAATTTTAACAACATGATAACCATGAATCTGAAAATTGTCTAGGGCTTCCAAAAAAAGAAAAGAATAGGCCATTGAAAAATCTAATTTCCATTCAATGTCGGGATGAACACTTAAAGGATGACCCTTTTGAATCAAAGTACATGTGCCACCACTCACAATCCTGGATATTATGTAGGAGGGTGGCCAATCGAATTTTCGATTGCGTTGTACCCATTCCTTTGCAACTGCAGGAAATTCTTTGCAAACTAATCCAACGCAGCATTGCCTTGTAAAGGGAGGAAGTGTTATTTCTTTGGGCAATTCTTGTTTTGTGAGGAATACTCCATCATTAAACCCAGGAACGCTTTTTGTGACAAACGAGGTTTGACTTTCTAAGGGACGTAACCAGCAATATCCTGGATGTGTAGCGCTGCAGTCAGCGTGCACAATAGACTTTTTGTTTCTTAGACTAAGACCAGCTGATTCAAACTGTATATAATTGTCACTATTAACAGCAACTACTGAGGGATCTCTTTTCATAAATCTGCATTGATTTTTAAATATTTTTCTCTCTTGTGTAAGATCTTTTAAAGCAACATTGTCACCAGTAGCAAATGTTCCAATACACAGAAACCATTGATTTTCGAGTTCCATACATCCACCTATGTAAGAGTAATTCTTAATACGTTCTTTTGGAAAAGTAAGCTTAAGAATAAAACTTAGATGTGGAAGAGGTATCCCAGTCAAGGCGTCGACATGCAAAGGGTCTTCAATTAGACAATCAAGCAAATCTGAAAAATTACAGAATAACAATTTCTCATAAGTCAAGGGGAAAAGATTATCATTTTCTACATGTATATCATAATCATTTTTGTTTTTTAATGATTGTTTTTATCCTGGAAAAATATATTATACAGTAAAGAACTATATGCGGTATATTGCATATGTTTGCCCCCACAAAAGTCAAATTTTGAAAACTTCCTGAAATGTGCTGAATTCAATAAATTGTACGAGAAATATAAGTTAACAGAAAATATTATAGTTCCAGAGCAGTGTATTCACAATTTCTGTTTTTATGACGTCACAAACTAGTCCGATTTTATATCCTTTTTCAGAAAGAGGACAAAATGGACAAAATTTCAACAATTTAAGCTTTAGAATTTTTAGAGCGCATGTGGGTTCAGGAACAATATTGACATATTTCATTGATATTATCATTCTACACATTATATCAAAATATTAATCCTGAACACACATGCGCTCGGTGACTTTCATTTAAAATATCGACGAAATATGTACATTTTTCTGCAAAATTCATAAAAAACTGAAATTTACGTCATATTTGTGACGTCATAACGTACATATGACGTCATTACTTATGAAATTATTCAGTGCTTTGAAGTCAGCATATACTCCCCTGTTTAAGGACTTAATTAAATATTACTCCATCAAAGTTTGATTTTGGGGGGCAAATGTTGGTTAATACCGCATATACTCGTAGTTCTTTATCACTGAAAAATCATTAAACAGTGTGCATAGAACCTTACCATTTGTATTATCGTTTTGGAGTTCATCTAATCCATAGGAATTGAACGTGGATATATAACAACTCTCTTGAGGAATCAATCTCTCTGATTCTTCTCTTTTCACACCACCCTGGTCTTCACCTTTTGCCTTTTGTGATAGTGAAGTAACTAACTTTTGAAATCCAATGTCGTGGATGTTCCCTTTGATACCAGCATCTTTATATCTTTCTAAAGAGTGCTTTGAAATTCTGTGCGATGGATATTTGCTTTCACAGAAAAGTGTTCGATGAAGAAGTGCTCCTGAAGAAATTTATTTCAAAAATTGAATTAGTTTTATATGTCCTGAAATTGACATATATTAATTGACAGAGAATGTATGGAACTAAGAAAATAATGGGTACAGTTCCTGAAACGTTCTAGTTTCCCATTTTCCGTTCCCTCACCCTTCGTTCACCGTTCCCTCCCAGTTCGCAGTTTTGCGTTCACTGTTCGCCGTGCGCTCGCGTTCACCGTTCACAAAACGTTCACCGTTCGCTCTTCGTTCCGTTTAATTTGCGTTCACCTTGCGTTCACCGTTCACTTATCGCGCAGTCTTCATAGTCATTCGGAACTCCGATGTGAATGGACTTATCTTTTTGATGGTTTTTACAGTTTTTTAAATGAAATAACTAAGATATCGTGATTGAAGAATAATTATTTAACCGCAAAAAGTATCATATATATATTTCTATTATTACTTTAACCATGAAATTTCCCTGGAAAATAATACATTAAATACCTACATGTATGTAGAGCGATGCTAAAATGTTAAATTTAATTAGGGGCAATGTACAAATGCTTCAAGCACGATAACATTTTGTAGTAATATAAAAGACGACAAATCATTAATGGATGGATATTAATCAAAGTCTTTTACAAGACAAGAATACACACACAAAAAAAATTATTTCAAGCACGTATTTGAAAAAAATACATCAAAACATATCAAAACTGCATGTAAGTCTGAGAATTATGAACAGTACTGCAGATATATTAAGTTAATTAAAAATCTTCAGAGCTAGTTAAATTGATAGTGTGATTCTAAATTTTAGAAAAAACCAACTGTTTAACATGTAATACATCAGAATTGTTCTACTTTACGTTAAGTCTATCATTAGAGAGGGAAAATCCCTTCCTTCACCGTACCTAAATATATGTTTGCTATTCAGTATGATTAAGAGCCCCCCTCCCCCTCCCCGGCGCCTTTTCTCCCGAAATCAAATTCTTAATTAAGTTTATTTTCAGCATATTTTATCTAATATCTAATGTGTATTGTAACACAAGAAAATCAGTCTGTAAACGAACATCAAAACAGTCATTAAACAATAGAGTATTTCAAAATATATATGTGCCGATAGTAATTTTTTTAAATTGGCAGGGAATATGCTTCATAATCATTTTCAAACTTAATCCTTCCAAGTATATATTCCCATTATTTATTTATTTCTGCAGGAATGCAAAAATCAGATCTGGAAATGATAGGGAAAATATGAAAATTTCTTGGAATACTAAGTGACTCTTTGCCTTCGGCATGTTCGATGAAACGTGATTTCCACACCTCCACTGTGTCGAATGATTTTGATTGATATGAGAAGCACGTGGACTTCGTGTGAACCGTGTGAACTTGAAGATGGAAAATAAAAGCTGGTGATTATCAAATGGATTTGTTGATCTTAAAAAATTCATTACTTTTACTGCTTGGAATATTTAGGAAAAATAAGAATTTTTATTTGATGCAACAGATATCTGAGAATGGAGGGGGATATCTCTCTCTCCTTTCTCTCTCTCGTGCGTGTATATTTCTCTGGTCAATAAAAACTATGACAGCCTATTACTTATTTAGGTTTAGAAATTTAATCTACTACAAATAATTTGATTGCCTCTTTCCATCATCTTGTCCGAGTATAATCACGGCCGGGAAATGTCTAGAGATACATGTACATGTAGAAGTTAGCTAAAATAATTTCAAAATACGAATGTATTTATGCAATATGTCAACAGATACGTATTTGTAAATAAAAAAAAATCCGCCACTTTACTCAGAATTGCCTTGGTACGGAAATATACATGTATGGTCTTTTCAACCGGGTACAATATATGTAATTCATTCTATAAGTAGTAGTTTTACCTTGTAAAGTCCACATTATTTTTTAGTTAAAAGAATAAGCATATTTACTATAAAAGTATATTAATTTTATATTTATACTACACGCGTTCAATAACAAATACACATGTTTTACGGCAATTGAAACCGTGATATTAAAATATCGATTTTAAGCATAGTATGTGCAGAAAAAAATGTTTTTATTACTTATTTATTTAGCTTTTGTTTATTTATATTTAAGCACCTGAAATAAGAATTATAGAATAATAGAATAATTTCAATGCAAGGAAAAGATCGGAGGCATTCCAAATAAATCGTTCATCTTGCGTTCACCATTCGTTTACCGTTCACTTTGCGCTTGCGTTCGCGCTCCGTTCGCGTTCTGCGTTCACCCACCATTCACCGTTCACAAGTCGTTCACCAAGTTGCGTTCAGCGTTCGCACATCGTTCACTCGTTCACATCGTTCTCTCACCGTTCGCTCTGCGTTCGTTCAGCGCTCGTTCACCGTTCGTTCACCCTTCAGGTGGGAAAGTAGAACGTTTCAGGGACTGTATTTAACGATACATACTGTACGTCCATAATTTTTCCCATTTCTTTGGACGAAGACTGACATAATGAAATTCTCCCAAATGTCCGAGGTAAATAATCAATGCTGGGTATGGAACATCTTTCCTGGAGGATTTCACTTCTGTGCGTCGAACATCATCTTTATAAATATTAAATACAACGGATTCAAGATGAAGAGCATCAACTATTGCCTTCAACATTATGTGATCGCTCCATTCTATCGGATTAGACATTCTTGTCAGATATTCTTCCCAGCTTTCGGAACTTAAAAATGATGTTATTGGACAACCATCCTCCTGCAAAGGATGGTCTCGGAGATACCTATAAATGGAAGAAAAAGTGTACATTGTTAGATATGCCATTAAAAAGCCTTTGAACAAATGCCAGTCAGAACCTCTAACTGAAAACTATTTTTTATAACATGTCAATTTAATTCTTATAACAGATTTAAATTAGGTAATACAAACTATGCAACTTTTAATTAAAAAAATTGTTTTCAAAGTCATAAAGAATCAAGATTTAGGGGAGGGGGGGTCGTGATGAAAGGATATTTAGAAGAAAAGTCTTAAATTCCACGCTTTTGAAAAAAAAATCATATTTTGGAACTTTATAATTATTTCCATATATTTATCACTCGGAGAATATTTTTCTTTTTCCAGAGACATGATAATACACAATAAAATTACTTTGTTTGTTGCTACCGGAATAAACGTTATCTTTGCAGGTATTGCAGAAAAAATTATAATTTGCTTAGTACCTGGGTTATGTATTTTTCGGCGGTCGCTGTAATATTTATTCCGATAATATTTAATGTAAGAAAGAAATTCATTGTTTTCAGAGTAAAATGTACGAGGTGTTAATCATTTTTGAAAAAAAAAATCTTGGACTGATGCGATAAACTTTATACTTTGTGGTTTGTGATTACAAAATATTAAAAGAACATAAAGCAACTAGAAATGAAGAAGTATTGTAAATTTATCTTGATACGCCGATAATTTTTCAAATTATCAAAAGATACAAAAGCCATTATATGACCACCTAGGTTGTTACTGTTTAGTTTCATAACGTGTAATAACATCATTGGTTCTCGATGCCTGCGCTCCTTCTACCGAATACACTTACTTTGATGACAATTTCCCTTTACTTAATTATTGACTTGAACCCGTCTTGTTTATATACCTTACACTGGCATGAACAGCTGATTTCATTGCACGATATTGTAAATTGTTATATGCAGAGCAAAAGATTCTCACTTGTTAAACTTGGCAAATTTTAAACACCCTGACTACAAATAAACACTAACTGTACAATCTTCATCTTCTTAAACGTTTCGGCATTTGAAAACAAGTACTCTAAATGCGTTTTATTTCTCTGTAGCCGGTTAATAAACATTTCCCGAGCGTATGCCATTTTTTCCTTTCAAATTTATAGAATATTGGAAATCGAGACCTCCTTACTCGTTTAATTGTTACTAATGTTTCTTAATTATTTAGATATATTTATTTTAAATTTACGATGAATACTCTTAGAAGGAAAATAATTTGGTACAATCTGCCAATTAAATGGAACAATTGTGTCCTATCGCGTGAGTGAAATAACGGGATTTTTTAATGATAAATGCCTATATCAAAAAAGGGTTTTAGTAGAATAAGGTCATTTCGAAGTTGTTCCGCCTTGACAATCCATTACTTACAAAACCAACAATTCATAAAAACTTAACATAATTTATTATATAGAAAATGTAGAATATACATTAAAACGATTATTCTATATTAACGTAAAAAAACCACTGATGTTCCTGAAGCAGTTTAATTCTATTGTGCTAGTCCACGAACTTTTTGATAACCCCTAGTAGATATATTAAATCAATGAAAGTTAAATATTGTTTTTCTTACTCAATAGCCAAATGTCTTAGCGTGTCTGTTGTATGGCCAAAGTGACCATTTATCATTAACTGGTCAGCAATTGATCGGAACATGCAACTTCCATCGGTTTTTCCATTCCACAACTCAAAATTATTATCCGTAGCAAACTTTCGGATTGATCTCAAGTAAACTGGCATATTCACAAACTGCTCTACACCTTTACCTGAAATTGTATGTTTTAAATAAATATTTCTTATGCAGAACTGAGAAAGACATTTATTTACTGAAATACTACCTTAAATGGAATTTAGTTAAATATGACAAAATTTGTTTTGACAGAACATTAATGGTACAGCTTCTGTACTTATCTTGGTTATTCTTGAGCCCACTTACTGTATCTACCGTCTGTCTGTGTTGTACTGTAGCGATCGAATCCCCCATGTATGAAGTCATCATCGGCTTCCCTCATCAGACGTCTATTACAGGACACTTGGTATTCGTCATCACTATCAAAGTAGTCTGTAGCATCGCCATCATCGTCAGAGAAATCCTCACATTCCTTCGAAGAATCATGTAACCTGTCAGATTTTCCTTCTTTTACAAAGTACATTTGGTTCGGATCAAAAGAACATTGTGCAGCACCTAATTCTGGCACATTGTCATCTTGTGGTTGCAATGGATCACTCTCGAAGAATTCTGTTTCTTTTAAATTATTGCTAAGTACCTCATCTTCACTCTCAACTTTAATTTCATCTATTTCTGCAGATGTCCCCTTTGTCCAAATATTATTTAGGAAATTCGACGATTTTTCGGTTGATTTTTCAATCAAGTGGGCAACACACTCTGTTGTTGAATAATCATGGAAATTATTTCTGTCAGATTCATCCATTATTTTCATTCACTTTAAAGCAAATGCGCAAATAGATTATGAATGTTCAAATAATATTTCAAATTTAATTTCCTTATTCAAAAGAAGGACGGAAACTGTTGACAAAAATACTTTGATTATTTATAACTCTTAAAACTAAAATTTCCGTTTTTAAGTGCATGTATTTTTTTATTGTTCATTTGTTGGTAATGTAAGAAGATTGGGGTCTTTTCAGCATATTTGATAGACATTTAGACCTCACAAATTCAAACATATTTCGTACTAAACTTAACACTTTATTCCATTAAGCTGTGTGGAAAATTTTCGTATTGGTATATGAAGAGATCTACTGAGACAAATGTAGAACAATTTATTACTGCCCTAAAAATACAATATTGTAAAACTAAAGAAAAATCATACTTTAAAAAATACATGTGAGTGTTTGTACTGTAACAGTAACATGTTGGTATAAAAATCTACACAATCTGTCAAAAAAAACTCTGGTCTAAACATAAGAAATCAAGCACAGATAAATGTTTGGTAAATAAACCAAATTCAAACAATGTGTTTTATTTTGACGACATAGGTAAAAATAAAAAAATTACATTCATATACATGTGCCATGCTTGGATTCATAACCCTTCATTTTTTCTGATGCCATGTATTGAATATTTTCTGATGTTTGTACTTGATTTGGAACATTGAAGGCTTAATTAACAAACGAATAACATTAATGAATTGTATATTTGACATTTCAATGAATAAAAGAAATCACCACAAACTCAATGTGTGAAATTGTATAAATGAAGATTGGATGCAAATCCAAAAGGAAAAAAGACTGTATACTTGAAAAACAGCAGTAACTCTGTAAAGAGCAGATTTACGGAGAAGAAAATCTAGAGGTGTTAGAGGAAAGGACAACACCTCAATAATACAATTCTGTGCTTACGTTGAAAAGAAATCACTATTAAAGTCCTGTTTGTGCATGTACATGTAACTATATTTTTTTAATGCTAGTAATACATGTACTTACACGTTCACTTTAGTGAAAACTAAAATAAAGCAAATTGAAATTTATTAGATTTATAAGAGTTCATGTCGGCCATGGTATACCAAGTGCTTGAAATTCAATTGCAGGGATGAGTTCTATCAAACAGAACACTCGTAGCAAGAGATCATCAAAAAAGATCCTCCCCTCGCATTGAGTATTCTATTAATCAAGATACATTAGGCATTGCACATCGATCCCAATAAAACAATTTATTTAAACAATAAAATGCTTTCTTTGTTTGTTATTACTGGAATGAACGGAAGCAGCTGTTGCAGAAAAAATACATAACCCGCGTAAGCGGGTTATGTAATTTTTTTCTGCAATAGCTGCGACCGTTCATTCCAGTAATAACAAACAAAGAAAGACATTTTATTGTTTATATTTATATCTGTTTAAATTATCATTTTAAGTAGGATTAAAAATATTAATTATTGTGTTAATGATGCGAACGTCTTTGTACGTTTCATTGATGGAACGGCCACTGGTCAAGAAATCTGTACAGGTGATATGCCTAATGTAGTTCATGCAGTGATGAACGCAATGGGTTTTCTTTAGAAATAAAGAAGAAAATATTCAGTGGATGTAAATATATGGTGAATAGAACGACCAGTAATTTTCATGAAATTAAAACTATGAGGTTTAAATAGTATGTATAAAAATAGTATTTCCTAATTACATTAGTAACATAAGCATGGCTTTTGAAATAAAAATATTACGTTTTTTTGTTTCCATAAAATAAAGCGAAACCATCTGAATGTTTGAGTCAACGTTCTTCAAATAGTTTTTATAGCGAAAATATTGATTGATTATAAAATCAAAGTACTGAAAGTACTCATGGGAGTTGAACATTCTTAATCTGAAAGATCCCACGGGAAGTATAGGAACAGTTTCATACTTTCAGATTTAAGTCAGCTAGAACTGATTTGTTGGAGATACAACACGAAACATTAAAAAAGAAATTTCTATTGCATTTGAATATGATCATAAGACAGCTCTTAAATTAGCTGCAGAACTGTAGCAGTCCGAAAAAAGATTTTGACAGACCGGAGAGCTACAGTGCCATCCATTGAAAAAACTGACTGTATATTTATTGCGCGCGAACAGTTAAGTTCTGTTCTGGATTTATTCTTTCTAATTCTTACCTCAACAATTTGACCAAACCAAACAAACAACCCCCACCACCAAAAAAAAAAATTTTCCAAACTCGAAAATACTATTTTGTGGGTAGGTTTCAAACTTCTTTCAGTACCATTTCTTACTCAAACTCAAACACTTCCTTTATATTTCTGAAGCATTTGAATCAAAACGCCCCCTACTATCTTTAGAAAGTGTACAAGATATTTGGTCCCAAGAAACAAACAAACAAACACTCTTTATATTCGATGTTACCATCACCAGACACTAGATTGTCATTTTTCTTCTTCTGATTAAAACAAGTATTTGCTATAAATGTATCTATCTTTATAACTTAATCATCAAGTTTTGTTATTCCATAATTTTAAATTTCATTTCAAGTAATTTCTATATAGAAGTAAGCATCTGAATACTTTACATTTTGTTTGTTTTGCGTTCGATAATTTTTCAATCATATTGAGACACTACCACTTGTCGATGGAGCTAGCTACATGCAAGTCTACAAATTTTTACCTATACACGGCACTCAAAACCATTGAGTAGTGAGGCATCGTTTTGTGCAAGCACATACTGCGACATGGGATTTCGGGTTATATGGTCTCATCAAAAGAGACCATATCTCATCCAAATGCATCCCACAGGATTCGAACCTGCGACGTAAGGATCAATTAACACCTTACTTCGAATCTCTAGAGCAAACTCTTGTAACAACTGTATTCATTAATCTTAACTGTTTTAATTATATAATAAAATCAAATGATATATTTTATAAGGTAATACTGCAATGCAAGTACATACACATTTTTAAAGATCAGATTTGGTGTTGTACACGTGACCAACTGAATGCTGATAAACTCATGAAATTAAGGATGTAAAATTAATGTCATTTGAAATTGTGAGATCGAATATCAACAAACTTTAATGCTATTATTTTTTCCCTTTACCAACGTAAAAAAATGAGCTAAAAATTTTCCAGTCTAACAGATCATTTTACTTGTCAGAGCAAATAAATGTCTGACAGTGATATTTTCCATAGTATTTTCTTTAAAAAGTAATGTTGTTTTGTTTCTTTATTGCTGAAACAAATTGAAAGGAGTTCGGTTAAATCTTAGCGTTCCTTTAACCTTACATCATTGTTTACATCTCTATATTTAGACAATCGCGTCATTGTCAAACCATTTAGACCAGTTGTTGCTCCTTTGATGACCTCGCACGTTTTGTAATGGAGCTAAGTGGAGTCAGCCGAGGATTGCCGAATGGTAAATGACGGAAAACTGGGACTTTTTTCATAAGGAAATCAAATTTACGTGTCATTTCTCAAGAGAGATGACAAAAATATGTTATTCAAATTAAGTTAAATAAAATTTTATTTCATTTACTTTCAAATCATTTATGAAAATTAGATTAATACAGAAAAATGAGATGGACTATTTTTATTGCGGATGTTTCTTCGAGTTTATATAGACTGGTGCGAGTTTGTATTGAATATCGCAGGGCAGTAAATTTTCCGACACAGAAACACCACGACAGCCGCTATATAATTGTAAAATTACTGCGCTAGAAACCGCGTGACTACCTAGGGAGTCTGAACATGTTTCAACTCCCAAAAACTGTCATCTGAAATATTATACTCTGAGATGGAAATGAATACAGTTTAAGCAATTTCAAGGAACTGAAATAAATTATTTTAGGTAAACTATTGTAAGTAATTAGTTAAGAAAAAATTGACAATTGAAACTATAAATCAATTTTTAAACATAGTTCAGATTTCAATGAGATGATAAGATAATGGTCATCAGTATTAAACTCTAGTAAGACAATTCTCATTGAATTGCTAAGAAAAGAGTCGTTTGAAAAAATGTTTTATTACAAGAGGATAACCTTGAGGTAATAGCCGAGTCAAATCTTCACAAGAACAGACGAATGTGCAAAGCGAACCGCACCGCTACACGACGTCTGTTTCTGAGTTTGGACTTAACTGTGAAAAAATACGTTTCTGACACATCCTAGGCCTGGGACTGCCAACCGGACAATACGACGTGCAAGAAATAAGAGAACTTCAAAATAAGGTCGATGGGTTCGTTTTGCTTACAGTGGACTTGCATGATATAACCGCTAGTAAGATCTCGAGTAAACCAGCAAGCAGTCAACAGTACTACTCCTGCATTGAATCTGGCTTTTATTACCTCTTGCTCGTTTACTCGAGGTCTTACTGGTGGTTATATCACGCAAGTATATTGTAAGCAAGACAAAATGTTCTGCCTTGAATTGGCAGGTTACACGCGGGTGTAACGTAGGTCAACAATCCTTTCATTTCTTTATCGACTGATGAAAAATTTCAGAGGTGGAAACGTTTGACTCAGCATGAATTCACCCTGTTGTGGCTTTTGAACTTGCATAAGAAATACCCTGACCGCCCAGAACAACAACACTACAACATTGTAGAACAACAGTTTTCAATATAAATACCGAAAAAAAAACATTAACATGAGGGCTATTTTAAAATTTCCAAGATATTCTGATCTCATTTTTGTTATTAGGTAATATATTCTTGGAATTCAAGTTAAGCATATTATGTGTAAAAGTAAGTTTTCATAAATTTAATTCAATATGATAATAATTAACGCATATTTCTTAATTTAACTTATCAGACTAGTATTCTCAAAAATTATTCGGTCTATACCCTTTTAACACATCTGAATCAATACCATTTATTTTAAAGTACGTTTGATCTATCTTGTATTAAGTTAGGTAAGCACTGTTTGAGTGGAATAAGTTTTGTCGTCATTGTATTTTCATTTTATTTCTAAATGTGTCGCTCTGCTTTAGAATCACACCAGGGTATCTTCCTATTCTTTCAACGATGT